AGGACACACCTCTTGAAATAATCTCTATGAAGAGACATACTCATTGGAAAATAATTATATCAAAAGTCATGATTTTTCATATGAAAAGACGCACCTTTTCATCTAAATTGATCCTAGAATATTTTATAATATTCTACATAATTTTCCACCAATTCCAAGTAATCAAATTAGGACAAATTACATTTTGTCATATTCTTATGCAAATATAATTTTGCACAAATCATTCCATTTAATTTTATTGAAGTCAGAAATTTAATTAAATCATCACATTCAAACTTTTCCAGATTTAAAGGAAGTTCAGCACCATTGCCAACTTTAGGCACAATTTGTGCTCTGTAAAATATTTTCATGTCTTAATGTTTTCGCAACAATTTTCACTAGAACAAATCACAATTTGTCATACTTTATGCAAATATAACTGGCATAAAAGTCATCTCACTTAATTCCATAGGATTAAATGAGGCTATCAACATTAATCAATATTAGTATAATTTCAACAAAATATGAAAATTTAACCAACTAATTTACCATGTCATATTTCATATTCCAATAAAAGAATAGTCATGAAAATTCATATACTTTCACAATTAGTTGGCATCTGTTCCAATAACATTGGAGTTATACCAATGACCAACATATTTATATCTTATTTAAATAAATATACATGTCATATTATTTGATAGGATAATCAAGTTGATAATAGATTACGAAATTGGATTTGAAAATGCATCTAGAAAATGAAGAGTCGTCATTCAATAAATTGCCTTAAAAATCACATGCACTTTTTCAAAATAAACAAACTTCATGGTCCTTGACTAATTTATGGAAAGACACGTATTGACAGCCATATATATTGATTAACAATTGTTACCATGTGCAATATATAATACTTCACTTTCATTATATACTAAACAAATGGATGGCATGGACACTTAAGACACAAATCATATAATAACATAATAGTTTCTTATGTATGCATCAATAGTTTTTTTTTTTTTTTTTTAAAGAGTTGCACAGAACCCCACTGAGCATAAAACATAAATCGATGTCGAGTTTATGCAATCAAATTTTATCATCCATTCCATTTAATACTTTGTTCATGTAAATAGAATAATGAAAAATATAAATGAGCAAAAACAAATTTTATCTTAAGATTGTTGGGGAACACACCGATTATGTGCATATTATATTCACAAAAAATATACCGTTTATGTTCACGAAATCGAAACAAGGTTTCGACTTACCGAAATGAAGTTTGAGAAACTAACCAATGATTATCGAATCTGACCATTTCCATTCTTGAATTAAAACATGTGATTCTTCATATCGAACCTTGCATAAATCATATAAATAAAATTAATCATTTTCTAAAATCAAGTATGAAGAAATGTAATCATAAATAAGAAAAAATTAGATGCAAGTGATGCTATTGGCCGAGGCTAGTATAACTATTTCCTTAAGATAATTTGTCCCGTATCGGTGCTAACGATTTTCCAACAATCATCTCCCAGAATACAACGACCACGTCAAGCCATAGGAGCACTCCAAATGACTTCGACCAGCGAACCTGAACGGAATTCCCTCTCTACCAAGGAAATACACGAAAATGCTATGGAATTAGAAATGAGAGAATTGTAAGAAGAGAATGAATACTTAATGCAATTGATGTATCCAAAATCATGTTCATAGGATTCTATTTATAGATGTAGAAAGGGTGCAAATAAAGTAGTGTGGGCCAAAACATGCATACTTTCAAAAAGTTGCAACGCTTGGCCAAAACATGCATTCTTTTGAAAAGTTGCAACACTTCATTTTTTTCAATTTTGGTCCGTAATTTCTCATTCATTTGGAATTGGTTTCGAGATTCCAAATATACCACGACGATCTACTTGAAGAGTAGAATAAGTTAATCTATTTACTTTTGTAATTTGACCATCAGATCAAGTCCGAATATTTGGTCAAAATTGACACTTAGTTACACCTTTTCATGTTTCACTTTTACACACCTTTTCATTTTTCAATTTTTGGTTAATTATTTGAACCAATTCCTACGTGTTATACCAAACATGACCCCTAGGAGTTGATTTGCAACATCCGGTTTCAATTTTGTGGAAGCTAAAATCTCGGCAACTGTGTTGTATATGTGGAGTTTGAAGCTAATGGGTAAGGCCCTGGGCATGAAAACGGGTTAATTTCTAGTACTTCCGGAGTATAGAATTTTGCACTCTTGACTACTTTTTAATTGACATGTGTATATAAGTTCTAATTAAATAATGACTTTCACGTATCTAACTACTATATAAGAGGGAGTTATACTTTACTGTTCACAAGCCGTTTAAGCCATTTAACTAAGCCAAGCCGTGTTATCTTATAAGTCTGACCATTACATTGCTTCAGTACAATTCACGCAACCATGTCTCATTAATGCTGGTTGGACTAACTGACCATTTCTTCTCTCTGACATTTTCTCTCTCTTCCATTGCTTCTTCACTCCATTTCACACGCAACCACCATGTCTGCTTACTCAGCTGATTTTTTTTATATTCTTGTCATTTTTTTTTTCATCTTCTTGTCATTTTTTTTTTCTCTTTTTGTATGTCTTTCTCTCTCTGCTCTAATTGGTAGCAGTTAGATCTGTACGAGGAATTCCCATGGAGATGTCCTGAAGATGGAATTAGATACAAGCAAATTGTAGAAAGGAAGAGGCTATAGATGTTTCTAATTGGACTCGACAAAAATCTTGACGCTATTTGAGAGAGAATTCAAGGAACAAAACCACGCCCTTTTCTGATGTCCGACTTTTAAAGAAAGTCCTTTCTTTTTCAAGTCCGACTACAAGAAAATAAATGCAATAGTAGTGTTTAAAATTTGCAATTCATGGTTTCTTTTTGATGTCTTTCACTGCTAGGCCGTATATTATAGTAGCCTGTTTTAAATGGAAGGAAGAATTGTGTAAAAAAAAGAAGAAGTTCTCTCTGCTCTAATTTCTTGACATCTTGTGCAGATCTTTTGGCTATGAATCCTAGGTATGGTGGATAGGTTTACCGTTTGTTTCCATATCTGCAAGATGTTTTTGGGCTTTACGATTTTTTTCTCGTCCTTCTCTTCATGATTTCTTTCTACAGATCGTAGAATTGGAACTCTAACTTCCAAAATTTGTATGCATTCAAGCAGGTAAGGGTATATACTCTCCGATAGAGTTTGGGAAACAGCTATGCCTCGAACATGGCATTTGCAAAGAAGGCATTCTTGAAGATTTCGCTACTCAGGTCCAAACCTCTCACACTCTCCGTATTTTTGTATGATTTTTCCATTAATAGCGAGTTGTTTTATGCTTGTGATTGGCGAAGAAATTGGAATTGAGAATGGAAAAGATATTATAAAGGGATGTTTTGAATTT